GAGTTGAGTATTCATGAGTTCGACTAATGGATTCCACAGAAGGAGGAGAAGTGGTGATGAATGGAGCTGAATCATCATTAGTGTTAGAAATAAAAGAGAAGCAAGACCAAGATCCTATTTTGCTTGAATTAAAGGCAAGTGTTCATAAGCAAAAAGTATTGGCTTTTGAACAAGGGGGAGATGGCATATTGAGGTATCAAGGTAGGTTGTGTACACCAAGGGTGGATGAACTCCAAGAGAGGATCATGGAGGAAGCTCATAGCTCCAGATATTCTATCCATCCAGGTTCAACAAAGATGTATCGCGATTTGAGAGAAGTTTATTGGGGGAGTAGTATGAAGAAGGGCATTTCAGAGTTTGTTGCTAAGTGTCCGAATCGCCAACAAGTTAAAGTAGAGCACCAAAGGCCCGGTGGTATGGCTCTATATATAGAACTTCCGAAATGGAAGTGGGAGATGATCAATATGGATTTCATCACAGGTTTACCAAGGTCTCGCAGGCAACATGATTCTATTTGGGTGATTGTTGATAGAATGATGAAATCAACCCACTTTTTGCCGGTAAAGACTACCCATTCAGCAGAAGATTATGCTAAGTTGTATATTCAAGAGGTAGTCAGACTTCATGGGGTTCCAATATCGATTATTTCAGACAGAGAAGCATAGTTCTAGAAATCTTTTCAGAAAGGCTTGGGGTCAAAGGTTCACTTAAGTACTGCTTTTCATCCTTAGACAGATGGTCAAGCAGAGCACACTACTCAGACTTCAGAAGATATGCTGAGGGCCTGTGTGATTGATTTCAAGGGTAATTGGGATGATCACCTACCTCTCATCAAATTTGCTTACAACAATAGTTACCACTCTAGCATACAGATGGCTCCGTATGAAGCTCTTTATGGGAGAAGGTGCAGATCTCCAATTGGATGGTTTGAGGTTGGTGAAGCTGAGTTGATAGGACCAGACTTGGTTCATCAAGCAATGAGAAAGTGAAAGTCATTCAAGAAAGGTTGAAAACAGCGCAGAGTCGTCAAAAATCCTACATTGATGTTAGGAGAAGGGAGTTAGAGTTTGAAGTAGATGATTGGGTATACTTAAAAGTTTCACCCATGAAGGGCGTTATGAGATTTGGTAAAAAGGGGAAGCTTAGTTCCCGGTATATTGGCCCTTACAGAATATCCAAAAGGGTTGGTAATGTAGCTTATGAGTTAGAGCTACCCCAAGAGTTAGCAGCAGTTCATCCGGTATTTCATGTTATGGAAAAAGTGCATGGAAGATCCTTCACCTATCATCATACCTACTGAAGATATTTGTAGCAAGGATAGTTTGTCTTATGAGGAGATCCTTGTTCAGATTCTAGACCGTCAGGTTCGCAAGTTGAGGACCAAGAAATTAGTATCAGTCAAGGTTCTTTGGAGAAACCAGTTTGTTGAGGAAGCTACTTGGAAGGCTGAGGAGAACATGAAGAAGAGATATCCACATCTCTTTGAGCCCGGAGAAATTCCAGATCAAGGTACTAATTCTCTTCTTAGTACTTTTTAAGTTGATATGTTTAATGTATTAGATTTGCTTGTTGGGTGTTTGAGCTGAATGTTAGATTTTACACCCTTAGCCTACCAAGAATAACCTCATTCGAGGACGAATGTTCCCAAGGGGGAGAAATTGTAACACCTCGTTATTTGAAAGAACTGGGAAGAGCTAGAATTAGGAAGAGTCATTTTTGGAAAGAATGAAAAATCTGCAAAATTGATTAAGTTTGTTAAGTTTGAGTTTTTGGTCAACTTCAAACGACCATAACTCCTAGCTCGCGATGAGTTAGGTGTGCTACCAGATACCGTAGGAAAGATCTTTGAATTATCTTTTCAACACCGCCGAGTTTGCTCAATTCCGAGTTCATATGAGGGAGATATGTCCATTTGAAGTTGGGCTATCTAGATAAGAAAAGTCAAAACCGGATTTTAGAATAGTATTTTGGTCTTTTCCATACCCAATTAATAAATTTCGTTTTTGGTAATTAAGATGGGGTCTAAACTGATTTGGTTCATTTTACGTTTCATCAAAAAGAGTTAGGGTTTTGAGAGAAAAGAAAAAAAGAGGAGAAGAGACAAGGAATCGTCAAGTTTTGAAGCTAAGATCATGGATTTCGTCAAGGGGTGATCCCTACGAGGTATGTGAGATCACATAGCATTGGGTTAGTTCACCCACGCGCCAATCATGATTCAATTCATCGTAATTGTGTTCTTGAAAGAAAAGATTATGAGTTCTTGATGAAATTTGTTTAAGTTCTTGTGGGTTCTTATAGTTGGAGTTGTTGAGAAGTTTCTTGAGTTTGATTCATGAAATTAGGTGTGATTTCGAGTAGATTCCCACATATATTGGTGACATAGTCGAATCTAAGTGTTTGGGAAAAGAACCAAATGAATCTAGAGGGTTTAGAGTTGAAAAATGAGCAAGAAAATTCGTCAAAAACCTAGGGAGGGAGCTGGGGCGCTGCGCCTCTCAGAGCACCCCAAAGGAGCTTCTGAAGTTTGGGCTCTAGGGGCCGCGCCAGCCAGAGTTCCCCAACCCATCTTCTGAAGTTTGCCCTCAGGAGCCCCGTGCCACTCAGAGCGCCAGGGAGTTCTGGCAGCGTGGGCGAGACGTTATATCATCACTTTAGCTCATAGTGATGGTTGTCGGTTAGAGAAACTCCCACAGTATTATATTACTTTATATGTAAACTGAGTTGTTATTGTATTTCTTTAAGTTTTAAATGCTTTGTATAAACTGCACCTTTATTATTGTTTTACTTTGCATTTGAGTTGAGTATTCATGAGTTGAGTAAAGCTAAGGTAAGTGTTCTTTTCAGATTCCTTTCAAGCCTATGTCATGTTTAGTTTTCCCCTCGCATGCTCGTACATTCAATGTACTGATGCCATTTGGCCTGCATTATCTTATGATGCAGATACAGGTAATCAGGATCAGCATCCAGCGCCTCGTTGATCAAGTTGAGCACTCAGAGTTAGTTGGTAAGCCTCATTGCTTCCAGAGGATTCTCTTTTATTTCCTTGTTAGTCAGTTGTTAGGATGACCGGGGGTCTTGTCCCGACATCCCTCTTAGTATTTAGAGGCTTCATAGACAATTAGATATGAGTTCTTTAGTCTTGTATTTCAGATGTTTTGCTAAAAGACTTGAGTTGCCACTTTGGCTAACCTGAATGTTTGTCCTTAAACGTTCCAAGTTTATTTGAGCCAGTTGTTTTAAAGTGCATTTGAATCCTTGTATTAATGCTTTAATTCTTCCGCTATGAGTTAAGCCAGGCCAAGGGTTCGCTTGGGGCCAGCAATAGTTATCGAGTGCCAGTCCTGCTCAGGGTATAGGCTCGGGGCATGACAGTTGAAGTCCCCACAGGTAATCCAAGGACCTCCACATAGCTCTCTAACTGCTGCAATTTCTTCCCAGCGTTCTAATTTTTCAGTTCTGGTATGTGGAGCATACACACCAGTGAGAAACCAGTAAAACCCATCTTGGACAACTTCGAATTTGTATGTAATTGAGAATTTGCCTTCCTCTACACTACTGCCTACCCAAATTCTTGAGTCCCGCATAATTAGGACCCCCCACTACTGCCATCGTCTTTGATATACCCACACCTAATCCATCTACTAGCCCACAATTGTTCGGCAATCCTCTCTACATCTTTGCTGATTTTTGTCTCCTGAAAGCAGTAAACATCAGCTCTCCATTTAAGTAGTGAGCTCTTAACCAGATTCCTTGTTGAAATCTTGTTAATCCCCCTAACATTCCACGATAATATATTTACTTTCATTTGAGAAATAGTGGCTGGACTCTCCCTCTGTTGACAGAAAATTCTTCAGCTCATTCTTGCCAATTCCTCTGTGTCGAGAAGTTGATGCTTCACTATTTTCCCCTTTCTTCTCCATCACCCTCTTTCTTTCATCGAGCTTCATCAGTAATGCATGTGTTTCCCCCCTGAAACCTTCAAACGCCACTCCGTAGGTTCTGCTAAGTTCCAAAATATGTGAACTTACCCGATTGGATGCTTTGACCTATGGCTATGGGAGTTTGTGAGTTGTTATGGTTAAAGATAATCCTTGATGATTTGAAGATAAGATGGGAAGGACCTATGAGACTATATTGTGACAATAAATCAGCAATAAGTATAGCTCATAATCCTGTACAACATGATCGCACTAAGCATATTGAGGTAGACAGACATTTCATTACGGAGAAACTAGATAGAGGGCTCATTTGTACGCCATTTGTATCTACAAAAGATCAGGTGGCTGATGTTTTAATAAAAGGACTGCCAAACAATGTGTTTCAAGATCTAATAAGTGAGCTAGGAATGGAAGATATCCATTCACCCACTTGAGGGGGAGTGTTGGCTGATATAGAGGATTTCCAAGAAGATATTCTTGTCATCAAAGATATGATTCTCTAAGATGAGAAGATATTCTTCATATCAAGATATGATCCTCGAAGATCTTAGGATAATTGTGGTAATCTAGAATATCATTACTCTGATTCTTTCTCTTAATGTAAAATATATGATTCTGTATAATCCCAGATTTCATGGGATTTAGGTGATTCTACTCCACAATCTCTTACGTATATATAAAGCCATGTATATGACATAGAAAAATATGAATGAAATTATTCAACAATCTTATTCCACATTAATCACTATATATCATTCTGCTCAAGTGGGAAAAGGCAAACAACATGTGGACTATAACGCACTGAAAATTTGGACCTCCCATTCACCTACATTCACTGGATAAGTCGACATGCGGGTGCATTTTCAATATTGAGCATAAGTATCATCATCAAGCACAATAAAAGAGAAATTAATCATGGAAAACTGATCTGAAGGTAATTTCTCTGCAGTAACCTCTGCCTTCTCTGCTATCCATGCAGAAGTCCCTCTCCCAACACCCACCAGGAAAAAAGATCCCCAAATTAGGATGCCTATTCATTAGCATGATAGATATGATAAATACCTTTCCAAGAGACCAGTAGATGGATTCCTTCCTTGACCATATTGATGAAATAAATATTTAACAATATCACCTGAGAAATAAAAACCACTCATTAGTTTACTAGAGGAACAGAGTTGTATAGAATGCTGGTTGTCTCATCAGCTTTTTCAATATCATATATCCCAATTAGAAAGGAGGTGCCTCCTGATAAAAAGGAATTGGTATAATGCATAACACAGATTGCAGCTCTTGTTTTCTCTTTATTTGCTTCTTTTCTTTTTGGCAAGTTATTCATTTGCTACGAACCTAGGACATATGGGTCTTGGTATTCATTCTATAGTAGCTTATGTACTTAAAATGTACAATGGCGCTCAGCTGGAAGAAAATGATTTAGAGAACTACAGCAGTTGGTGAACTGGTCACCATTCTTATGGCTATCCTTCCTTGTACTGGAGCTGATGAAGTGACAAGGAAAGGTGACAGTGTGTATATATTTCCCTTGGAAGTGCTTACCAACTCCTAGAAACAAGGGAATAACAACCATTGGCATGGTTCCCTTAAAGAATCCCAAGATTAGCTTTCATTCTTTAGCTGACCAATCAGAACAAACTTAGCACACTGGAGAGATAAAAGTCAGGAGATTGTTGAAGATAATAACCACTGCTTTTAAACTCAAAACCTGAGACGGTAAAGCATTTACTTTTTGCTTGCAGTTTTTCTGACCCATATGCCATCAGATTTTGTAGACAGCCTAATATATACTGGTTCTTACTCTAGCAATGATGAGCTTGCATGGTGATCCAGTGTGCAAAAAGCAAAGCCCTCTTTGAATAGGGGGTACTAAAGCTTGCCTTTATTGTGTGCTATTGCAAATGGAAGAGGAGTAACTTGGAAGAATTCCAACAAAAACCTAGAACATAATAGAGACATGTAAAACAGTAAAAGAGAAGGTAAATAGTAGTCAAGTCACTAAATCAGAAACAACTGAGAACTAAGCTAGGGTTCCATTGTTTTTGGTGATAGAGAGAACCATAAGATCATATGCTTTGCTTTTGTTAATGTGTAAATACCAAGGGTATGCCATCTTGAATATTGCGAACCATCATATCAATTCAGGTATCAAAGTTTCTCAAGTTACAACCAAAAGGAAGGTATTAAGATGTCTTGAGAAAGGCTCTACCAGGTTAGTAGTTCTCTCTTCACATGATGTAACTATCCCTACAACTGTACTCCAAATATAAAAGTTCCTCCCCTGACCCCTAGAAGAAAACAGAAAGCTGGATCTGTTCTTAAGCTAGTAAGACAATCAAGGGCACAACTATGCTTATAGCCTGTTTGGCCAAGCTTTTGGGAGGCCAAGAGCGCTTATATTTTACAACAAGTACTCATATATAAAATAAAAAAATAGAAATAAAAAGGTGTTTGGCCAAGCTTTTGGGAGAAAATAAGTGCTTCTGGGAAGTAGCAGAAGCTGTTTTTCAGAAGATGTAGGTTTTCCCTCAAAAGTGCTTTATAGAAAAAGTACGTTTGAAAAAAATATACTAAGAAGCACTATTAGAAATGTTGGTCAAACGCTAATTGTTGCTCAAAAGTGCTTTAAATTTATTGGCCAAATAGAAACTGTTTCTCACCAAAAGTACTTTTTTGAAAAACACCATAATAAGCTGATTTTAGAAGATTGGCCAAACAGGGTATTAGTCTTCATCTTAATCCAGGGTAGCACAAATTAAAAGCGTGATCCGTGCACTAACATTTAAAAGCTGAAGCATGTGTGTGGTATTGCACCCATTTGGTTGGAAAATGAACAGTTATTCAGCACTCAAATGAAATTGCCTTGAACACCAAAAAAGTACGAAGGAAAAGGAACTGCACTACTCATGCTTCTTACCACTTTCATAGAGCGAAGTTCCAGTATTTGGGTCAACAAGGAATGGGAACCTGCAAAATAGCAGCAATTCACTATGTTAAGAATGACAGCCAGGACAGCATTAGGCAAGAACCAAAAATATGGCCCTAAATGAATACCTAGTTTAATTAGCTTCTTGCCTCTTATCCATATGCATATACTAGGCAAAGATCTCCAATTAAAGGGGTATACTAAGATGTGATTCAGAAGGAAAAGACAAATTAAGAATACAATATAATAGACATCCATGAAAGATCTTCTTGCATCTTCACCTTCTCATGGTTCAGCATTATTTGCTCTACATGTTATCTAGCTTTTCGGAACTTGTTTGTTAAAGGAGAAGGAAAAAAAATCCTCCAATGTTTGTCAAACTAACAAAGCTCAATATAAAATTATCTAGAGATGATCTACATACTGTTCTTTGCCTCCCAATCTTCTAACCATTTCACGGTGTCTCACTGAACCCTTTGGGCATGGGTAAATCTACAAAGTCACATTTGGAGCATAAGATAACCTCATGGCAAATTAAATAAGAGATAAAACTGAAATATGGAAAAGTAAATAGCTTTAACATTCAACATTTGTTTTGATAACTGCCTACATCAGACTTGGACAGATTGGAAGAAATCACCTAGAGTTTTTGCCTCCACTGGCTTTGAACCCGAGACCTCATGATTCTCAACCCACTTCGTTGAGAACCAAGCCACACCCTTGGGTGCATTTAATATTCAACATTTTAAAGTGTTATATATTGCAGCAAATGAATACATTAAACCTCATAATCAAGTAACACTAAACAAACAAACACAGAAAGGACTTCTGCATTCAAACCATGGTCTTTTCATTCCTACTAGCAAGTGATGAGGAACAATCTAGATCTTAGATGACGACCAAAAAAGGGATGAAACGTGGCCGGCACCCAATACTTACCCATCTGCACCAAGCAAACATGTATAACTTAATTACTACCTGCTTCTACCCACATGCAACAATCATACCCAAAACATTTCATAGTAATTGTTTTACAAATTCAATAAGTGAAATAAAGATTCTTTTTCAATTTAAAGATTTATTCGATAAAGGGCTCTTGTCGGCCTAAACACAATCATTAATAAGGCATAAAGAAAGTTATTCATAAGGTCATGTGAGTACCCATAAACCCAAAATATTACAAGTTCATCTATGGAGTCTCTATGATGCTATGAATGAATAAATGAAGTTACGGGACTAGTCAAACTATACAAAATATTATAAACTAGACAACGTGCTCCCACGATCCATAAGTGGGTTCACAAAAAATAGCTATAAGGAAGCAGGATTCTAGTTCATACGTAGATTGTCCTGTGTCTGACCAATACCTGAAATATGCACATGGAATGAAGCCCGAGCATTGGAACACTCGGTATACATCATAGCTATACCACCACATGGTAGGGCAAGAGCTATATAAAACTCAATATGCATGTCAAGTTTTAATAAAAAGTTCAAGAAATTGTTGCGATTTTTCTTGGACGGGAAAAAAATTCTAGAGAAAGCTCTCAGCGCACAATAGCAAGGTAGCGATTGTGAGCTAAGAATACTTCACCGATGGCCCGCCGGCGACAATCACCACCTAAGCACACACCCAAAACCGTCATACCAGCTACTGGAGCAACTCATAAGCTGTCACCCCTTACTTTTGGGGATTTTCTACCTTTGAAGTGCCAGACGACAGTGAAGGAGAATGATACTAGCAGCTTAGAGGATGAAATTCAGCTGGGAGATGCGGACGGAAAGGACACGCCAAAGAGACGATTGCAATTTTCTGATGCAGGCATGTCTTCACAACCTACTCCTAATGCTCCAGCACAGGTGAAAGGAAATCGCGGTAATGGTAAGACCCTGAACTTCATCCTCCCTGTGATTAAGGAGGGTATACTTACAGTTCAGATTGAGGAGGAGGATATCCGATTACAGGTTAAGGAGTGGGAGAATGCACTAATAGGGTATGTTATTGGAGGAATTTATCAGGAAGGTATGGGGTTTTGTTGCACTACCTAAGATTCTGTACCATGATGATGGATACTATGTTTTTAAGTTCCAAAACACCATTGATAGAGAAAAAGATGCAAACAGGGCCATATTTCTATGGTAGTACAAAAATGATTCTGCGAAATTGGGAGCTGGACTTTGAATTGAATGCTGAAATGTATAATCAAATTCCAATTTGGGTGAGATTTCCCAGCTTACCTGTGGGGTACTGGTCTGTTAGAGCCTTGAGTAAACTTGCTACTGCAATTGGGATACCATTATACACTGATGGGATCACTGCAAATGCTGAAAAAATATCCTATGCCAGGGTATTGATTGAGGTGGACTTGGCTAAGAGCTTGCCTGATGTCATAGTAGTGGAAACACCTACTGGTCCATGGGATCAAAATATTGAGTATGAATGCAAACCCAAATTTTGTAATCAGTGCATTAGACTTGGACATAATGAGAATGACTGCTGGTACAAATATTCCTCCAAGGAGAAGGACATGGGAGGGGGAGTAAAAGTTGACCATTGGAAGGGGAAGATGAAGGATGTTAATAGGAAATTGGTGGCCAAATGGATGCCTGTCAAACCTCAAGATGCAAGTGAGTTTATACAAGAGGTACACCAGATTCCTACAGATCAACCTGTGATAGATCCTGGCCAGAGAGAGGGTAAGCAACTTGTTGAAGAGATAGCAGATGACACAATGATTGAAGAGGTAGCAATGCAGGGTAACTGGAAGAGTGCTGGCAACTATATGCCATTCCTTCCAGCTTGATACTCACTACTTGGAATATAAGGGGACTTAATCAAGGCCACAAACAGAAAGAGCTGAAACTCTTTCTGAATAAACATAGAATAGATATAATGGGTTGCCTGGAAACAAGGGTTAAGGTAAAGAGAGCTGCACATATTATTAACAGAGTAGCATATGGTTGGTCTAGTGTAAATAATTACAAGGATGATGCAAATGGAAGAATATGGCTTATGTGGAAATCAACATTGAAGGTGCAAATACTTGATATATTTGAGCAATTCATTCATTGCCTAGTTGAAGAACCAGAACTCCAGCTGAGATTATATTATACTGTTGTCTATGCTAGGAATGAAGTGCAGAAGAAAGAAATGTTATGGCAGAATCTTACGCAATTAACTTTGCAGAACCAACTTCCTTGGATTATAAGTGGGGACTTTAACAGTGTGCTGAGTTCTGATGATAGAATGGGATCTCCTGACACTCAACAAGAGGTGCAGGGATTCCAAAATGTTATAGATTATTTGCAGCTAACACCAATAAAGGGAGTGGGATGGCATTTTACTTGGTGCAACAAACAGGGAGGAAATAAGAGTCTACAGTAAGATTGATTGGGCCTTTGGGAATATGGTTTGGCTGCAACAGTTTGGACATATAGAGGCAGAATATTTGAATCCTTCAGTATCTGACCATTCTCCCATCCTGATCAAATGTAAGCCGTATAACAGCATTCATCCAAGGCCATTTAGGTTTTTCAATAACATGATGGAGCATCCTGATTTTGCTGAAAAACTGAGAAATGCTTGGGGTGATAGTGTGGAGAAGATTAATATGAAGCAGGTGTGGGGGAAACTCAAGAATGTAAAACATCAAAGCAGGGACATAAACAACTATATTGCTTCATATAAGCAAAAGCTGCAGGTACTAAGGGAAAAACTGGAGATAATCCAAGGCAAAATTCAGATTAGTAAACTGGATCAGGAACTTATTGATCAGGAGAAACCTATGTTGCTCGGACTCTTCAAAAATGTCAACGGGTGCGTGTCGGATTCGCCAAAAGTAGTGTATTTTTGGAGAATCCGAGACGGGTGCGGCAACAAAAATGGAGAGTCCGCGCAACTAAGGGAGAAACAGACAATCATAGAGTTGGAGAAATGGAGTAATATTGAAGAGGCTGCACTTAGACAAAAAGCTAGGGCTAATTGGATTGAACTTGGGGACTCCAACTCCAAATATTTCCATGCCCAGTGGAAGATAAGGTCTAGTCATAACACTATTACCTCCATTTGTACTGAAACTGGTCTAAAGCTGACAGAACCTTTACAAATTGAAGCAGAATTTATTTCTGTTTTCAAAGGGTTGATGGGGACAAAAGCATCTGAATTGAAATGTTTAAATACTAGAGTGGTTAGAGGTGGTACATGCCTAACTATCATGCAGCAAAGAGAGCTCATACAGGAAGTAACAAATGAGGAGATAGTGGAGGCCATAAAGAGCATGCCCAAGGACAAGGCTCCAGGAGTGGATGGTTTTCCCATTGAATTCTTTACAAAGAACTGGAAAGTGGTTGGAAAGGATGTTATAGCAGCTGTACTACATTTTTTTCAGACTGGTAGGATCCATCATGCTATTAATGTTACAGCAGTAACTTTAATTCCTAAAGTCAAAGCGCCAACAAAGGTTAGTGATTATAGACCCATTGCTTGCTGCACCACTTTATATAAAATCATAGCTAAGGTTTTAACTAATAGACTGAAGCTAGTGATTTCTGGTCTTGTTGATAAAGCCCAATCAGCATTTGTGGAGGGTAGGAGTATAGTTGATAATATCATGGTCAGTCATGAAATATTCAAGAGCTCTAATAGAAAATGGATTTCACCTATATGTGTGTTAAAGGTGGACCTAAGGAAGGCATATGACACTTTGGATTGGGGTTTCTTGGAGAGGTTGTAGAGTGATATGGGGTTTCCAGAAAAGTTTGTGCAATGGATCATGAAATGTATATCTACAGTATCATATTCTTTGCCTTTGAATGGTGGGCTAACTGAACCTTTTCCAGCACAAAGGGGGCTCAGACAGGGGGATCCCATTTCCCCCTATCTCTTTGTATTGGCTATGGAGTATCTTGGAAGGGAACTCAAGCAAATGGCAACAAATGTGGACTTTAATTATCATCCCAGGTGTGAAAGACTAAACAGCATTCACATTTGCTTTGCTGATGACTTATTGATGTATTGCAGAGCTGACTTAATATCAGTCAAATTGATGTATGCTGCCTTTAGGAATTTTTCTGACGCATCAGGCCTACAAGCAAATACAGAGAAGAGTTCCATATACATTGCTGGGGTGACTGATCATACAAAGCAAAGCATAATTGAAGCATTGGGATTCATTGAGGGGACTTTGCCATTCAGATACCTAGGAGTGCCTCTAGCATCTCAAAAACTTGGAGTTCATGCATACCTCCCTTTAATTGAGAAGATAACTGCTAAAATAACTTGTTGGTCTGCCAAACTATTGTCATATGCAGGGAGATTACAATTAATCAAAGCAGTCCTTTTTGGAGTACAGGCTTATTGGGCTCAGAATTTTCTTTTACCCAAGAAGGTAATCAAGACAATTGAACAACTCTGTAGAACTTTTCTATGGACTGGTGCTGTAACAGGATCAAAGCTCTAGTGTCTTGGGCAAACATCTGCCTACCAGGAGCAG